GGAATATGGAGACGGAAGAAAAATATAAAATTTCATTATTCCATCCATATACCGCATTCTATTGTATATTCTTAGTTGTAATTATATATTTAAAAATAAAATATTAAATTAAATATTATAGTAAATATTTTTAGTTTCATATTTTTTAAGGAAAAACTTTTATGCTAATTGTAAAACTATATAATTTAATGGTATATTTTAACCTAGGCTCAAATAGTAATTAATATTACTATGTGCTTGGATATAGTCATATATAACTTTCTTAGGTGGAAAATGTATTATTTTAGTTATAGTGTCTTAGCCTTTTATTGATTATACAGTTGAAACATTTTAGTATGCTTAGGCTTCGTAATATACAATTTTTTTTGTAGATTACAGCTTTTTTAATGGAGGTAGTGGACTATAAGTATCGATGTATCCTTAATATGAATAGTATTGTTTTTTGTTGATTTTATAATATTATTATTAATTATTAAGCTGTTAATTATAATGAATTGAATTATTAAATGTAAGCGTGAAGTATACCTAATAGTCTATAAAACATGTAAAATTAAAATATTTTAATTTTTAAGGTATATGTGATAATAATTTATATTTTTTAAAAATTAAATTATGTTTTTTAGTATCGTATATATAAAATATGTGAGTATTTTTTATTAAATTTAAAAGTTTACTCTAAAAATGTACCAATAGTGTTAAAATTTGTATTTATGAGTAAGAATTTGGAAACTACCGAATTCAAAGGAATGTGATGGAAATAAAAATTTGAATATTCTAAAACTATTTGAATGGATAGAATGCAATTTTAAATGTTTAAAATTATTTTTTAGAAATGAAATTGAACCGAAGGTAATTTCATTCCAATACCTGAAGTTACACCCCTATCGATACAATAAAATAGTTATCAATGAGTACAGACAATATGTAACGCACATTCAAAAAATTAAATTTATAATTAATAATCCAATATAAATATTAGCATTTCAGTCGAATTTATTTTATTTATTTTGTTTTAGATCCGGTGTCTGAAAGTCTACTGGTCCGAGAAATTCGGATTCGTGCAGCAGGTCACAAAGGGGAAATTCACCTCGATTATTGTTATTTTACTAGTAGTAAAAAAAGTGCTTTGCATGAATAAAACTCATTATAAGTTTTTTTTTTCTAAATATAATTAAATGTTTTTAAACTCTAATTAGAAGTGGATTAAATTTATAATATTAATATAATATATTTCATTTTGTTTTCACTAATCGAAATAAGATTTGATTAGAAATAATTTATTAAGCACCTTAAGTATTCTTTATTCGCCGCATTATATATAAATATATATATATAATATATTATATATATAATATAGTATATCAAGTCCTTATGTTCTTAATCTATACCAACTATCTTAAACATATTTTATATCCAAACATTAAAAATAAAATTCTCATGCTTATCTCAAATATTATTTACACCAAAACTAATTATCATTACATTGCTCTAAGTTATAATCAACAATCAACTAACATTTATCCTGCTAAAATCCGTCTTAATATTGTAAGTACATTGCCAAGTTATTTCTATAGTCATTAAGTACCTAACATTCAAAAGTACTATTATACTTAGTGATCACCTCACTCATCAATAATAAAATAAGTCAATTTGTCCTTCACATGCGTTCTTATAATGCTACTCTTGTTTTTATCGTGCTAGAAACCAGCAAAGATATCAGTCAGTCACCACGACACTTAAATACAAGTCGAAAGACTCTATCTTCGTCCAAGTAATGCATCTACAATGAGATAAGTAGCAACACGTTCGCAATAATATGTAGTAATATCATATATATAAGTTTCTCTCTTATGTCGTGACAGGTTATGACTGTGCAGAGATGGGATCGAAATAACTGAATAATAAGTAACTTCTACCATAAGCTGCTTACATCTCGTCGTGGAAAGAGCAGGAAATGTAAAAGATAATATAATAAGTTATTTCATTCACAAGAATAAACACCATGACCATTTTACAATAATCTACTGTTGGAGGAGAGTGTGATGTATGAAGTCCAAATAAGAAATATCAATAAAACTTAAATTAATATAACATAAATAATTTAATTCTTCCAAAATCACCAAATTCATTATTTGACATTTATTATGCCAATACACATACTATTTTATTTAAAACCATGTATCGAAATACTACAATGCCTGATTAACATTCAATTAAAGAGAACATTACATCATCTTGATTGTCCAAAACTAATGGTTTACTGAAATCTTATATTATAACTTTTATCATTCTCTAATTTAAGTAGGCCTTAACCACCCTAAAGTGGTTTGGCTCTTAATGAAAAACCAAGGGAGGGAAATTTTCTTCTCCAACCAAGCACTTGCTTAAACATTAACTCATCTTATTATCACAATGGTAATCCATTTCTATCCTCATCATGCATTATCTAAACTATTCCACACTTTATCCCAAAATTTCCAACAATTTTTCCCATTTATGTCCATTTAAACATAATCCACAATAACACTTTTCAAACTTATATTCTTTATTTTTTGTCAAATAAATCCTCAAACAATACAAAATAAATTCAGAGAAACCTTATCACACGTATATGATCATACATACATTGATCCAAATAAAAACCCTGATTACAAAGGCATAGGAAATTTTTCCTGTATTAATATAACCTTTGACCTTTGCAGGTGTTTTTGATATAACGTTGAGTTATAGGTCTCCAAATGAACAAAATTCAGATTAATATTAGAAAGCTAAGACAAAATGAATACTAAATGTAATGATAGGATCATAGCCCAGATCATTCTGCAAGGTAGCAACAAAAGCTAGACATAGTACCCAACAGTTCCAGACCTAATTCAGCAAGAACCAACTCCATGTTTATTGGAATTACTCCTTAACCAAAACACATCAAATTAATTTCAATCCAAAACCTGAGAAGTCTCAAGACACAGGGGCAACAACTCTCATGAAGAAATCTAGAACAAATTCTTGCCATTATAGTGGTCACACAAATTGGGCAATCGAATTCAGTGATGCGATGTGCCGTGGCAAACAGCAGTCAGTTTGGTGTGTTTAGACAACTAAGTAGCTATATATCTCCAAATTGGACATCAAGAGATTGGTTGGGAAAGCTAAGAAGTAGATAACCTGCAACTTTATTGGAAGGATACTTCAAACACAAATGTTGGATAACTAAGTAACATGATCAAAAAAGTCGCCTTAATCTCACTCAATAATCCGTTTTTCCCCAAATTCAGCTTACTCTTAACCATGAAAGAACTATGAACAACCCAAAATACAAGTTAGGAAATTGTCTACACAACATAATACTCATTCACATATCACCAGAGCATGTAAATTGCAACCAAAAAATTCAAACAAATCAATCATTTTCATAAAAAATTTCCCAAAATATCACACATAAGAGCATAAAAGGTGTGAACCCTTTCCCCAAATTGTCAGTATAGGCATGTGATGCATATGACAAAAGGAAGAAATGCACCTGAGTGTCGGAGTCGCCAACCATTGTTTAATTATTAAAGGGTTAAACTAGGAAAAAACCCTAAGTGACTCCATTTTTAATTAACCTAGTTACTGATAATTATCCAATGATTAAGGCACAATCTACGAAACCCGAGGACTATGTCATGCGAAATAAACTAACCGATGAATGAACTGACTTTGCAAGGTAAGATGATGGGTATTAATGAAAATGATTTAGTGATTTTGACTTGCCACCGGGGTAGAAAATCCCGGGGACGTTGCCTACTACTTCCGTTTGAATGGAATGATCAAAGTCAACGTAGTTCGATAGGCCATCTTTTATAGTAGGGCTTTGAATGATATTGCTTAATGCATTGGGTGTATCTTGTGCATGATTTTTGTGTATGCTTTGTGCGATTTTGTGTGTGTATGCTTTGGCATGATTTTGTATGCTTTGTGCATTTTTGGGTGTATTGCTTTTATGCCATGATTTTGTGGTATGCTTTGTGGCAGTTTTGTTTGGGTATGCTAATTGTTGCATGATTTAGGCGTTTTGCCAGAAAAATTGATGATTTTTAGGCATGTTGCAAATTGTGATTTTAAATGCTTTTAGCCCCAAAATGATTTGATTGGCAATTTGCTGCCAACAATTGCGAATTTGGCGATTAGTCGCCAAAATGGTTATTTTAGGCCTTTGACCAAAATGATGTTTTTTAGGCAATTAGTTTGACCAAAAATGTGCCGATTTAGCGATTGTCACCAAAATGGTGATTTTAAGGCCGTTTGCCAAAAGATGGTTCAATTCTACGACTTTTAGCGAGAAAGATTGATTTTTAAGCGTTTCGCCAAAATGGTTCGGTTTTACGACTTTTAGGCCGAAAAAGCAATTTTGCCAAGAATGGTCGGTTTTACGACTTTTAGCTTGAAAAAGGTGATTTGTAGCATTTTGCCAAAAAATGTGATTGTAAGGCTTTTAGTCAGCCAATTATTGATTAATTGGACTTTAAACCGGATTAGTTCGACAATAAGCAGTGAAACCGTAGTTATTTAAATAACTAGGCTCTTTTTAGCCAATATTGTCGGATTTAAAACTTTAATACCCACGATTATTGATTATACGGGCATTTAAGCTTAATCGAAATTAATAGACGGTTATTTTGTCTAAATGATGATGTGAATGCGTTTATGGCATTTAGAATTATTAAGAGTAGAAAAGAATTATGCATGAAGTGCTAAAATTAAATAGGCAGAGTTTCGTTTACGTACCTTGATTTATAATCGTCGACCATTCTTAACTCCAGGTTTAAAGCTCCTCGTTAGGTATATTTAATTAATTTTAATTTTATTTAATTTATGGTCAAATATCATAATAAAAATGCAATAAAAATTAAATTAAATGCAAAAAGCGGAAAGAGGAAAACGCACAGAGCGTGAGAGGGAGAAGGATTCGTCCGTCAAAACAAGACAAGGCCGCCACCAGAAAATGGTAGAAAAATGGCCTATTTATAGGCCATTTCGGGTCGCCGGGCGGCAGGTGCCGTGGGAGGGCGGCAGACTGACCGCCCAGGGGGTCTGGGCAGGCAAGGTCCCGCCTGGTCGGCGGCAGGTGCCCCGGTGACAGAGGGCGGCAACTGCGCGCCCTGTCGGCTTGGGGCGGAGGCCCGGCCTGTCTGGGCGGCAGTGTCGCCCAAGCTGGGCGGCAGGTGCCACCCAGGGGCGTGGGGGCCAGCCCGCTCTCGCGCGGCGGACAAGGCCCCGCGCGTGCTGGGGCGGCAGCGAAACTTATCACCGGCCGCGTGCATGTAATTCGCGGACAGGACCCCCACGCGCCGAGGGCGTTGACAGTGCCCGCCAGCCGCGTCTGGTCGCAGGGCCTCGCCCTGCGCGCGCGGCAGACCCAGCCCGCGCGGGGCGACAGGCCCGCCCGCGCTGGGCGGAAGCCTGCCCAAGGAAGTGGGGCGGCAGGGCCGCCCAGGCTGGCGGCTGCTGTCCGCCCTGGCCGACGGCAGGCGCCAACCGTCGCCGCCGTGGCGGTGGTGGACACCGTGCCTCGCTTCCGATGGGCCTTTTGGAGTTCCTGGACCTCCAAAACAATTATTCCGGGGGACCTGTTCCGCGCATACCTCTGCGATATTTCCGGACGTTTTTAATACCATATTGACAATTTTCGATGAACTCCCGAAAAATTAAAGCCTCCGTACCGAATACACATATTCACCCGGACTGTGTGCCAGCCGGGGGAAAGAAACAGGCTTTCTGTAGCCTCAAAATTTGGGTATCACAGTTTGGCCCCCACCGTCGACCATAAAAATGATTTTATTGGGGCAGTCGGTGGTTGTCTTGAAACGCAAAAGTTTGTAGGCGAAACTGGACGCGTCTAAAAGACCCCGCCTTCTTGGACTATTTGCTTGTATAAATAGCCTTTGAAAAAATCATTTCATTCATTTCTAAAACTTTCTAACCTAAGGAACTCTCTCAAATTCTCTCAACTTCTAAAGCTTTCAAATTCTTTTCTTTCTTTTTTTTTTTTTCTCATGGCTTCCTTGATCTGAGCGTGAGGAATACCTGGGGTTCGCTTGACAGGTCAACCTTTACGGCGGACGCTAACACTCACGCCTCCCGTAACTGGGCAATCTTTGCCAGGTAACCCTACCTTTATGGCATTATTATCATTCTTTTTCAGGCAAGTTGGGGAATTTTCGGGCCTTAGGCCAATTGTAAATTTTTGCCTATGTGCCGAAAATTGTGAAATTTTGAGGGCCTCTTCTGACCTGATTGTAAATTTTTCGGCGCCTGTGTGGCCGGAAAGTGTGAATTTTGGCCTCTTTGGGCGCTGATTTGTGATTATGGGCCTCTGTGGCCAAGTGTGTAATTTTCGGGCTGCGTGGCCGAGAAATGTGAATTTTGGAGCCATCTGTGGCCTGATTTGTGATTTGTGGGCCTCTGTGGCCAGATTGTGAATTTTCGGGCCTGTGTGGACCGAAAATGTTGAATTTTGATCTGCGCTCTGTGGCCTGATTAATGTCTATTTGTTTGGCCCTCTGTGGCCAGAATTGTGAAGTTTTCGGGCTGTTGTGGCCGAAAATTGTGGAATTTTGGGCCTCTGTTGGGCCTGATTGGAATTTCGGCCTCTATGGCCAGAGTGTGATTTTCGGCCTTAGGCCGAATTTGTGAAATTTTGGGCCTCTCCGGAAATATGATTCTCGAGCCTCTTTGACCGGAATTGTTGAAATTTTTATTTTCTGTATTTGCTTTTTATTAGTATGGATGCTAAGATTATTATCCCTAGTAAAGAAACCAAGACAATTCTTATATTACTTACCTTTAGGATCTTACATTAAAATTGGATGTGGCTGAAAATTCTATGGTCCGAAAATCCGATTCGAGATATTGGATCCGACCCCGTCGGGGCAATCATCAAATCCGTCCCGTCTGGTTACTTGAGGCATTTTGATGCTGACCGAAATAGCCACAAGGAGTTGCTGGGTTGCTTGGCCGAGAAGGCATGGTGGGACACTACCAACCACTTTTCCATTTTTTCTTGGGCGAGATGACAATGACCCCTGTGGATTTTTCTGCTGATTACCGGAATCCCTTTTGGTATTCGGAACGATTGAATATATGAATGACTGGCGAGGACAGAGATTCCCCTAGATCGTGGATGGCGGAATTGATTGTATAGACCTGCCTCGATTGTCGGGCCAGGTCTCTGCCTATTTCCAGCTTTGAGTGTTTACCAAGCGGCGCTGGCGTATATCTCCAAGCCCCGGCATTTATGCTAGACATATCGAGGCGGGAGAGCCTGACGGTAAGCGTCTGTGATCTACTCAGTGGGCCCAGATTCACTTTGTTGCTGATGTTTCTGCTTCGACCTTTTGGCTTTTTTCCAAACAGAAAAGAAAAAGTTTATATCCTATCATATACTTGAAGAGTTTAGAAACCTAGCCCATCTCACGAGTACGATGGGGCCGGCGTATTCTTGAGCCGTATGTATGATGACATTGTGTGGTCTGAGTCCGAGCCACGTAAAAATTTACGGGGACCTATTACTTCTGGGAGGTAATGCGAAGAAATATCTGTATATTTTTCTATGGATTATTAAGCCCCTTCTTTTGACTCTCGTTTCTTCTTTTTTTGCCAGATTGGGCGGTTTGAGTATTTTCCTTTACACTCGCCCGGAGCAGATTTCATTGCAGATCTCGGATATAGGCTGGTACCTTTAGCTTGGAAGATGGTACCGAACAAACCTTCATACATCGGCAATAAGACAATCGCTAAAAGACCTGAAACCCTTTTTGATAACGTTGTAGCCCGGCGCAGGGATGTGTTCAGTAATTCTTGAATACGTTGAATAAATAAAAGATTTATCAAACATATTTGCATCTTTTTTTTTTTTTTTTTTTTTTTTTTTTTTTTAGGTTGAGGTGGCGGCGATGGCCCATCGCCTACAGAGCTTATCCAGCTGATCCTTCCATTCCAGCCGGTTCGGATGGACTTGTCTCGGCGGAGGAGTGATCCTGCCCATCCCGTCCGAGATGATATTACTATAGGCGAGAGAGTAGGACTTTCAAATAAGAGGCTGTCGTTCCATCCTATCCTCCTCCCGGGACATGCGAGCGGGCAGGAGAAATGGGACGTCTCCACCGATGCGCATGACTGAGGTATTCCGTTATTGGAAGAGTTCATCTTGAGGGAGATTATCTGAGTTCTGCAGACTCTTTCTGATGCAGCCTAGTTGGATCGCCGCTTAGACAATTTTCAGAGATCAGCTCCTTTCCATCCGATCCCGCCACCCGCTCTTCTCGGGCCCACGAGGGCTGGTCTTCGATAGGACTCCAAAGAGAGAGCCTACGAACTTATACTAAATGCAACATATTCTCCTACTATACGGAGAGGTCTTTGATACGAGTCATCCTCAGCAGCAGGCCGTTCAATCAACACACTGCAATACAACAATATCTCAGGCTTTAAAGTCATCCACACACTTCATCAACTACAGCGATGAAACTCACACGATCAATCGTTGCAATCTATCTAGTGACTCAGTATATAGATAATACCTATGATCACTACCACTGGAAAGAGTGTGAGAAATACATGTGACAGAGGCTACGAGGTACAACTTCAATTTCAGACCTTGGACCCAATCTTACTCTTTCGAAGTTTACAGCATTTCCTACCATACTCCTGACGGCTCCATTAGCCCTTTTCGAGAGGTCTCGCCTGGAAAATTGTGAATCGGCTTGGCTCTTGCACTTCTGAGACATTTTAGCTGAAGGTAAGATAAAAACTATGTTAAATCTCCTCACAAAAACGAATCATAAAGACATTGACGTTCATTTGCATTTCTTATTTTTATAGGTTTCCTGTTGGGATTGAATTCAATCAGATGATGGAATTATGCTCGGGAATGCAACAGGAACTGTCCTTCGTCCTGGACTCGTGAGGCTTACAATGATCAAGAAGGCAGAGGCACACCTCAGCTCGAAAAGCCATGATTGCCGGATTTTTCTGTTCCCTCTTTACTTTCTTTCTGGTCTGACATAACTGTTACTTAAACTTGAATCGTTTGCTTTCTGTACTGTATCGTACTATGTACTGAGGTTTTGATTTGTACTCCGCCACTTGTTAGATTTGAAATATAATAGTATGCATGTTTATTGTATTTGAAACAAAAACTGAGGAGACTTCATCATTTTGGGCTTATTAGACAAAATACCACTACTTTTTTTTTTATATTATTTATTTTATTTTTCTCATGCGTGGCGGCCGCCTGCCGCCATCAATTCCAGTGGCAACTTGGCGACCCCGCTGCCGCCGGCCATTCGGTGGCAATTCGCGGCTGCTTGCCCTGCCCTCATTCGCTGCACTTTTCTCCTATTAAAAGCTGTTCTTTGTTTCGGCTCTTCAACTCATTCCTTATCTTCTCTCTTCTTCTTCTTACTCTCTATGTTATCTTCTAAAGAATGAATCCTTCTTTCAATACATAGCATGCACAGCTGGCAGGAAGTCTCTCCAAAGCTTGAAAAAAGATTCAACTTGAAGAGGTTATGGCCTCTCCTACCATATTTACCCTTAGGGGATGTAGTGCATCGACTGGGAACTTTTTAGTGGCCTATGTATCAGACTCTGGGACCTTGAGCCCCACGTTTTTCCGGTTCTGGGCCATTGATGGATGAGACATTGTGTCCTCTTTTTGAGGGTTTTTTAGACGAGAAAACATACTCTATAGGGTGTAGACCCCTAATTGCCCCTTCAGTCAGGCATGAGGTTTAAAGTCGTGTATGTTTCGGTCATTTGAAAGTTTATTTCAATTCCGAACCGCACCACAAGCTTAGGGCGATGATCTAGATTGACCGAACCAGATAGGCGAATCTCTACTGCCCCTAGATCTGACTATATTCAGCATAGTGTTCTCTTTAGATCGACCCAGAACCGAGACTAGTGAAGGTCTAGGAACCATTAGGCCTGATCACGTCAGACTTTCATTTCATTTGACTTATATATCTGGTTTCTTGCTATATAACAAAAAGACTGAACTCTCTAATGCTCATCGGGATCATGCAGCACAGTTCAGTCAGATCTTAAATGTATCTAATATTCGAACGATGGGAAGGACAATTGAGTTGCAATTGGCGGCATTGTGCTTTCAGAGACTATCGCGGAGCCTTGACAGAGCTGCTCTTAGGCTCTCGACACCGGACGGTTTCTCCCGATATTCTCCAGGTTACTTCTTTTCTTCTCATTTCTCTTCCTTACTTATTGTTTTAGGTTCATTTCCCTTGTAATTAGAAAGCAGATTCCAACTCAGGTTTGCGTTGAAGGATCACCTTCAAGTGGTCGCTGCTCCTACCCGTTTTGCCTTACAAAACCCTTCTCAGTATCGTATGCGGGTTGTTGCAGAAATATCTCTCTACTTT